AGTCCCATCCTATCAAGGCTAGCATCCACAACACCTCTGTCTCTCTCTCTCTCTCTCTCTCTCTCTCTCTCTCTCTCTCTCTCTCTCTCTCTCTCTCTCTCTCTCTCTCTCTCTCTCTCTCACACACACACACACACACACACACACACCACACACACACACACACACACACACACACACACACACACACACACATACACACACACACACACACACACACACACACACACACACACACACACACACACACACACACACGCATACACACACACACACACACACACCACACACACACACACACACACACACACACCACACAACACACACGCATATACACACACACACACACACACACATACAAACACACAGTGTGTAATATTTGTGGGCGTGAATAATGTATTATCTCAAATAGCACCTCTTGAACTACCAAACATTAATAAATACCTTTGGCCCCAAAATTTTGAGGCTAATGGGGTGTAAAGGTTTAGGTGTCGATTCCCTTGTTTTCCCCTTATTTCATATGGGTGCTTCCTATAAAACATGACCTCCAGTCACGTTCATGAATCGCGAAGCATGGTTAGCTTGAGTGTGATGAGCCTCTTGGCTCCACCCCTCACAACCACATACTTATAGAGAGCATTTATATTTATTATATCCGTATAAAGTTTCAGATACAAATTAATTCAAAGTGCATCATCAGTCAACCTATTATATTGTTTCCAAAACTGTTGGTAAAAATAAATGTAAAATGAAATGCAGTGAGTGTGTACAGCGGTGAATTAATATAATGATGGTGGGGTATAAAGGATGCAAAACTTAATTTATCAACATAACATTGTGTCAAATTTTTAGGTGACAGACTTTAGACCTGGGCAGATTGGGCACTTACCAGCAAACACTCTTCCTGGCTCACACTAGCTCATTCATCCCACATAGGGCAGAGTCTAGCTTCACTTAACCCAAAGCTAAGGGAATATTCCCTCAGCCCTGACTCTACCTATTCTTACACCTTTATTTGTTGTTTCAGTGACTTGTATCCAACACCAGGTTGGTGTTCCCCCTTCAAACTATTCAAGAAACCCATTACTTTTGATATCTCCCGTTCAGTCCGTCTTTTACACATTCATTTTGTTGTTTTTGGTAATGAAATAATTGTAATAACTTTTGGAAAATATAATGTGGTGTGCCATTACCAATAAAATGTTGGCATATGCTGATGATACTTCTCTCTATGCTGATATTCCTTTTCCGGTAACTAGGCAAATAGTAGCTGACTGTCTGACTGTAGACCTGATGATGATTCAATAGTGGTTCACTCAGTGGGGCATGAAATTAAATCCTACTAAGTCTAAGGAAATGACTGTAAGTCGGTCTCGAACGCAGTTGCCTCAGCATTCAAGTCTGCTGATTAATGGAGTCTCAATCACTTCAGTGGATAACCTGAAGCTCTTAGGTGTAACCTTTGATTCAAAGCTTATATTTGAATTGCATATTAGGAATATGGCTTGGGCAATTTCATCAAAGTTAGTTATCATTCACAAGTTCAAGAAAATCTATGAAATTGACAACATTACACGTGCCTCTTTTCTTTTATTCTACCTCATTTTGAGTATTGTTCTCCTGTATGGTTATCTGCTTCAGACTCACACTTAAGACTGCTTGATCGTTCTTTTAATTCCATCAAATTTCTCCTGTCTGACTTACATTTGGACATTGGATATCATAGATTTATTGGGGCTCTTTCAGTCTTATACAAGATTGCAACCAATAATTCACATCCCCTCCATTAGCTTTTACTTGATTTTTTATCAACCTGCAAGAATTACAAGAAGTTCTATGAACCTTAATTCAATGACATTTGATGTAAGTCGATCGTCTACAAGTCAGTTTTCTAGATTCTTTTTTATTGCTATTTGTAGACTTTGGAATAAATTGCCTTCAGAGATTATAACTTCTTTGACTCTTGATAAGTTTAAAAGATCAGCTAACATCTTTTCTTCTGTAAATAACTGACTTTCTATTCTTTCATTCTTTCTTAAGGGGACCGTCCCTGAGAATGGCCACCTTTCCCTACTCTATACATCATAAAAAAATATCGGTTAGAGATAACTGATTGATTCTTTTTGCATGCTATAGAGCAAAGAATTGCGCTTCGTTATATATATAAATTTTAACTTTGCTCCCCCATTGGGGGGGCACCCCCCAAAAAGTTGAAAAAAATCGCCATTTTTTTTGGCATGTCTTCGGTACATCCCAACTATCAGAGCTCTTTACAGAATATTCCCCCAAAAATGCTAGTGTTAGATCAACTCTAGCCTATAGCCATGTAAAAGGCCGAATTTTGAATTTCCTTTTTTTTTTGGCGGGGGACAGCTTGACATAGAGAACTATTTTTGAATGCGTTTTTCAGCATTAAAATATTATTATTTTTTGATTAAGGCAAAAATTCAAAAATCGGCCTTTTACATGGCTATGGGACGCGAGGCTCTAGTGAAAGCAACAAACTGCATTTGGATCGCATGAAAATTACGTGAGTTGGGAAGTACCGAAGATTCATAAAAAAATAGCCGAGCTACGGCGTTTTGTATTTGGCACCTTGCCAAAGTTCGTTATCTCTGTTATTTTTCTCTGAATCTAATGATATTATATATCAAAAAAACGCTTATTAGTGTACTTTGCAATGCAATGATTACCAAGTCAATAGGAATTTTCATGTTCAATAGGGACGCTATTCTGTAAAGGTATGTCACTTTTTTTTTTTTTTTTTTTTCGTTGTTCATTAAAGTTGATATTTTCGTGTGAAAAGCTTAATAAATGCATTTTACCATAGAGACAACTAATCTAAACCAGATAAAAACCTTTTTTTAAAAAAATATTTTTTTTATTTTCCATTTTATTTTTTTTTTTTTTTTTTTTTGAAGAAATGGGAACTGTGGATGGCAACATTAGTACAAAATCATTCTAATTATAAAGTCCTGGCATGAATACAACATGGTGGTTCAATTTTGAGAATTTCAAAAGCATATGAATTTAGTACATTGAATTCGAGAACTTACGAAAGTCGTTGAATATTCCCCATGCCTCACACAGGGGGGGAGGGGGAGATGGTCACTGGGTGTATAATTTTCGAGGAGGATCATATGTACGTGAACGCACGCACATAAAAGTTAAAAAGATTAATCATCATCATTTAGTAGGCCTACATTGACTTTCATATCTAAATAATAAAATTTATTAGTTATCCCTCTCATACCCATTTTCTTTGATAATTGTCAATATTAACAGATTGCAAGGGAGAACAAGTGTAAAGTTTATGATTAGCCATTTGCACCCATTATCTTTACTAAGAAGTGCATAAAATCATGCAGACGCCTATGTGTTGTGGATATTTGCCAATTTATGTGCCTAAGACTTACGGTAACGTCTAAACATATTCATTTTTATCGGGAACGCACGAAACGGATGCGATAGCTTTTTGAACGCCAGACGAAGACTACGCATACAACCGAGCTCAAAATTCCATATAGTTTTTATTTCAGAGCAGGTATTACTGAAGTACTATCATCTTCAACATGAAATAATCTGTATCTCGCTTATACATCCGAAGTTTAAAAATCCGACATTTAGGTAACATTCGTATTGAATTGGTCTTTACAACGGTAACTACCAATTTCAAATCAATTCAAATTGCCCCCTGCTGTGATGTACCGACCGTTGAGCGAAATGTAACGGAAATATTTCAATCCTTCCTTATAAGGCTATTTTTAAACATTAGTGCTTCGTATGTGATATACGTATATATTACCACGTAAACTAAAACATATTACCAGGGAGTCTCGATCAAAGCATATTTCGTGTGTAAAAGGACACAAAACATACATTTTTTTTTTTATATATTTCACAAAATATTTCGTCATAAATCACGGTGATATAATTTTTTCCTGATATTGGTATAAAAGTGTTCCTTGAACATTCACGAACTCATATCTATGCGCAATGTCATAATTAAATGCCTTATGCACGATTGCCGCAAGCAAAAGTCCACATAGGTGTACCTGGGCGCTCAATAGCGACGTACCTCTCCGGTGCTGAGGGACTCGCACGCCGGCTGCAAGACAACGAGCCATAGCAGGCGTAATACTCGTTTGGTAGTTTCCTCATCCATGTACCTATACTATACGCTAACTAACTCAATTTAACCCCCTCCTCCCCCCTCTCTCAGGGACGGTCCCCTTAACTGTGTCTTGACCAGCACTGACACCTTTGGTGGTATAAATCTCGATTTTTTCAGTGTGGCTCTTTATATAGCTTACTATAATAATAATAATAATAATAATAATAATAATAATAATAATGGCGTATGAAATATTGTCATGAGCATTATTCTATTTTTCAAATAACATATCAAAAGTTTACCATTACCATTAAATAGCGGATCCAGGTGATATAAAATGGAGGAGAGTGAGAGCAGCTGCTTAGGATAATGCAGAGCCATATATTGCTATATGGCTTTGGGATAATGCAAACGAAGGATATTTCTATCTAACGAACATTAATATGAATAGTCAGTTCCAACAATGTTTAATGATTTTTAAATAGAAAATATGATATGGAATTTAAATAAAAGAATGTGATAAGATTTCAGGATAATTATTTTTGAAATAATATACGATAATCTATTTCTTAAAGCAGGCCCAACATATTCATCAAATCAACAACTAAACAGGAACAAAAGGGATCCCTCTCTCTCTCAATACATATTTCAGTCATTCTTGCATTTTTTTGCCTGATTTCCGTAATTTCCCTCCCCCTCATATTCGAACCATCCTAACTATGTCCTGGGTGTTCGAACGTGGGCCTCCTTTTAGGACAAAAAGGGCATGACTTCTCCCAGCCAGGTCTTGCAAGTTATCACCGCTTTAGTTGTTGGCTGTACTTTCCCAATGGTTATACTGTATAAAATGAAGTTACCTTGTTATTGTCATAGAAACAGTACAGGTTTACTCACCAAAAGCTTCGCAGACTTCCACAATAATCTTGTATTGCTTGTAGTAGGTGCCATTAAAGAAGTTGCAAGCATCGGTAGCTGCATCTCCATTTTCATACCCAATGAAACCAAACCTTCTGAATGTACCATCCTTGTGGACGAGCTTTGCATCTGTGATATTTCCTCTCTCACTAAAGTGTTTCTTGAACTCTTCAATATTTACCTGCAATCAAGATATAGTAATCAACAAGTCTGAGAAAATATTTAATCCTTCACATCTTGACCCTTGAACTCTACAATCCAGATGACATGAACACAATATAATGAAAACATTTGGCTTGAGTGGCAGGTCATGTAAATATACCATGGGAAAATGCAAACTTCATCATCATTATCATTATGGGGCTAACACCGATGGGGGCACATAGCCGAACCCACCCTCTGTTTCCACCTTTTGGAGTCCCTCAAGGCAAGCCGCCAGGTAGGGACTTGGCCCATCTCGAGCTCCTCACGACAGGTTTGATCAATCTGCCCAAGCCATGACCCCCTAGGTCGTCCCAAAGGCCTCCTCCACCCAGGGTTGTCACTTGCAGAGACAACCTAGTGGGCAGGATGATCCTGTGAGAAGCGAGCCAGGGGGCCATATAGCCTGAGTTGGCGATCATGGATTGTGCTAGTCTCACAGTGCAACCGTTGGTTGGACATGTGGTCCCGCCAACAGTACCCCATGATCTGGCACAAGGACCTGTTACAGAAGGCATCAAGACAAGACTCCAAGGCAGAGGATAATGTTCAGGTTTCACTACCATATAGCAAAATTTGCATTATCAGGGCCTTGAAGACATGTAGTTTGGTTCTTCTGCACAGGTACTGGCATCTCCAAATACTCTTGTCAAGAGAGTTCATGACCCCTGCTGCCAGGGCAACCTGTCTGCTGACTTCTTGATCTTACAGCCCAGAGTTATGAACTACACTACCATTGCATGTAAAGCTCTCTGTGACTTCAATGTCCTCGCCACAAGCATGTACTGACTGAACAGGTTCTCCTAACAAGTCCCCAAAGTCCTGGATCTTGGTCTTAGTCCAGAAGACATCTAGACCAAGGGCTTCGCTTCATTACTAAACGCATCTAGAGCCACCACTAAAGTTTCCAAAGACTCAGATAGAATAGCAACATCATCAGCAGGGACTGTAACCTTGACATTGCCCAGAGTTGTTCCACAATGACTTTGAACAGTAGCTCTGCCCAGTATCCAGTCCATGCAGGTGTTGAAAAGTGTTGGTGCAAGGTCACAGCCTTGCCTCACTCCTGAACTAGCAGGAAAGAAGCTTGACAGGCACCCACCACACTTTACAGCACTTTCAGTATCAGTGTACAGACTTGCTATTAGTCCAATATCCTTGTTGGAATTCCTCTCAGTCTCAGGATCTCCCAAAGTGATTCCCGATGCACTATATCGAATGCCTTCTTGAGGTCGATGTAGGCTGCAAGCAGCCCACCACTCTACAATTACTTGAAGCACAAGGATACGGTCTACTGTGGACTTACCAGGAGTGAATTCAGATTGCTCCGGCGTCAGTAGATGGTTTCTGATATGTCTCAGAAGGATGTGGGCAAGAACTTTGCCTGGTATACTGAGCAGTGTGATGCCTTGGTGATGCTGCAGTCCCATCAGTCCCCCTTCCCATTCATGAGAGGGATGACCACACCCCTTAACAGGTCAGGGGGAACAGTACCAGACCGCCAGATGGCAGCCAGGACTGCATGCAACCCTTCTACCAGAGGTTCACCACCAGCCTTTAACAATTCAGCTAGGATGCTGCAAATACCCACTGCTTTCCCACTCTTTAGCTTGGAGATCACCACCCTACCTTCAGTTAGGGAGGGTGGGGGATGTGTCCACTGATGGATGAGGCCAACAACGGAATCACAGTAATAACCGCATCCAAGTTAACTGTTGGTGGGTCAACCTGATACAACTGCTCAAAATACTCAGCCCAACGCTCCAGTACCACAACAGGATCTGAGACAATCCGGGAACTTACTAAGCGAACCGCTGTCACCTGTGAAAAGGGCTTGGTATGCAGGACGAAGGTCATTTACTAAGAAATGCCCTTCAACCCCCTCAGCAAGAGTCCTAATAATCAGAGACCAAGTTCTGTGCACCTGAGAATGGTGTAAATCCCAATCCCCTGTCAGATGAGCCACACGGCAAGTATCTGTGGCTTCCAGTGTCTCCTGTGAGATACCCACCCCCAACCCCTGCCAGGAAAAAAAGAATCCTCCACGTATTCACACAACAGCTGGTCGCAGGGCACTTCAAATGGTAGCACTCCGTGTTCACGTAATAGTTTCATGCTGGCCTCATCGTCTTCAAAATAATTTTTTATAACTCGGCATGGTTTGATAAGACACCCTACACACAAGGAAGCCATGACAAGACTAATTTGAAAATTGAATTTCATACCTTCTAATAGCTTTTAATATTATTTCTATTTATCATGACAATTAA